CCTGTCCAGCCATGGCAATTATCTGCCTAATGGTTCATCTAATGACCGCAGCCGATGGCTTACACCAGGTACCTAGTCATGCTAGTGAATCCAGAAGTATGCCGAGCCACGTGGAGTCGAAGCGGCCTTTCGGCCAGTTAATTCTATCTTTCGGGCACCCAAGGCATTAGTGACTCTCACTGATCGCTCTCAACAGCGCGCAGCCGTGTACTTTTCGGAATGAATCTTCGTGTCTTATGTCAGTGAAGTTGTCGCGAAACATGTCGGCCTACTGTACATACGGCGATATCAGATCCTTGTTTGGTCGCTGCAGCTGAAGCAGTATATTCCTCTCTCACAAAGGTAGGATGTGACAGCCCAGCAAACCTCTGCCACCCCAGTTACGTCTCGGAGTGAGTGTTACGTGCAGCTCCTCCCGCGCCCCTTGGCTGGGTCGAGATATCCTGACTAGAACAGGTCGCTTTGTCTGGTTAATGTCATATCCACACGAGTGTCGGGCAATAGTCAACTTACACCTTCATTCCCTTGCACGCATTCGGCCACCTTCTTGAGATTGTCGTGGTTTGAGCTGTTGACGTAGCCAAATATGCGAATTTGGTCATTCGGCTTTAGGCCAGCTAACTCAGCTGGGCTCCCCGGAACCACAGCGTTGACCTTTGCGAATGGCTCCTCCAGCGGCTGAGATGCTGAATGATCTGCCAGGGTGTTGTCGGAGAGCGGAACTTCGGGTTTCTCCTCTTCTTGCAAGCTGGCAAAGTGCTCATGGAGTTGTTTCTCAACCATGGCCATGAGCTCCTTGTAGTCATTGCGGAGGTGGATGATGCGGGCTCTGGTAGTACGCACTATTACAATCAGCAGGGTACTAGATCTCTGCCACCAGAGGAGAAACACCTTGAGCAATATCGAGATCGGCTCTTGGAAAGCCGTCTTGAGTTGTGAGAGGTGTGTTCATGTCAACCCCGTGCTGGCTCACCAATCAGCTGAATACTCGCTTCTCCATGTTCGTCTCCGAACACTGGAGCGGGGGGTCTTGAAATCACAAACAGAGTCGAGGACTGCACCCAAAGCTTTCAATTCAGCCTCCATGTTTTCTTTCTTGTTCTGTAGCTCGGCAAAAGAGAGGCGACCAAGGTCACCGTTCCTCGACGTATTGCTGGCTGGGCCCGAGGGCACGGTTGGAGCGTGTATGTTGTCCATCCTGAGGGGCAATCCCATAGCTGACCGGACGGACCGATAGAAATGCGAGGGGGCTTAAGTGCGATGAAGAGTCGGTTTCTGACTTCTTGCAGCGATGGCAGACGACTTCGTTCATGTGCCCAGTATTTGAGCTGGAATTGATGTTGGTGGACCTCAACTTCACCCCTCTATGTTGGGGTATTGCATCGACATAGAGGACATCCAATTGTGAGCCCCGCGCCCCAAATCCTTGGGCAGCGTCATGGGGACCTGCCTACGTAGCTACCTACCTTAGCCGGGTATCGCAGGTGCTTAGGTACCTGAAGAAGGTGCCTGTCCAGCCTTAGATTCATGGGCCGTGCCTGCCTTAGGTATCTTGAGTGCTAGGGTAGGTACCCAGCATTGTGACTCCATGCGCTGACTAACTCACAAGACCTGATGGAGCCTAGAATCACTGCTGGTACCTGAGGCACAAGAAGCGGTCTAACTGGAACCCCGACGCGTCCATTCAGCGACCCGATACAGAGCTCTTAGTTCAACCCCAGCCAGCTCCCGATCTCCTGCTAGACTGTCCTTGTATCGACGTCACAGTTCCATTTCTTCTTCCTCCATCCTCTTACCCCGTCCGCTCTTTGCCTCTCCGATCATCATGGCGACCGGCGTCGACGCAAAGCTCCTAAAGTCCACCAAATTCCCTGCGGAATTTAATCAAAAGGTTGACATGCAAAAGGTCAACCTTCAGGTGATGAAAAAGCATGAGCCTCGCCTTCCATTGTCATTCAATTGCTAACTGATCTCTTTCAGGTGGATAGCCAGCAAAATTTCCGACATTCTGGGAAGCGAAGATGACGTTGTTATCGAGCTTTGTTTCAATCTGATCGAAGGGCCCCGATTTGTCAGTATTGTCTGCCTCGACCGATTCTCGCGATTATCTTCTGACTTTCCTCCAGCCAGACATTAAAGCTTTACAAATACAACTTACGGGCTTCTTGGACAAGGACACGGCGCCATTCTGCAGGGAACTATGGAAGTTGTTCTTGAGTGCCCAAACAAGCCCTCAGGGTGTGCCCAAAGAACTTCTAGAGGCCAAGAAGCTAGAGTTGATACAAGAAAAGGTACGTATCAATCTTCGTCCACAGCCAAGGACAGTCACTGACATAGACCAGATGGAAGCCGATCGCGCTGCAGACGAGGCACGACGCCGCCGAGGCGATATCGACAGGCGTCAACAAGATGGCCCGGCACCGAGAGATAGGGATCGCAGTGAACGCGGACGCGGCCGCGGCGGCGGTGGAGACATGCGGCGTGGTCGCAACAGTGACAGGGACTACGACCAAAGAGGTAGACACGGAGGACGGTTTGGTAGCAACAGGTCGCGCTCACCGGCTGCGAGGAACCGTGATCAGAGGGACAGAGGCTCGTTCCGTGGGTCCACTAGAGACAGCTATGTCCCAAGGAATCGCGGTCTCGATAGCCGAGTATCTGGCCGTCGTCGCAACGACACGCGCTCTCCGTCTCCGGCATCCGCCACCTCACGGTCGCGCAGCCCCGATCGCAAGCGGGATTTTAGTCGTGGCTCGCCCCCGGCCCCCGCCCGACGAACTCGTCGAGAACGCAGCGTATCCAGCCCCAGGGCTACGAGAAATCGATCGGCGTCGCCCAGAAGAAGCCAGGGGAAGTATCGCGAATCACGAAGGAAAAGGAGATCTTCACGAAGCCCTTCGACGCCCTCAACATCGCCTGATAAACGGGCGGCTGCAAAGCGCCGTAGATACTCCTCTTCACGGAGTCGTTCGCCAGGTCGTGAGAGACGATCCCGCAGTAGAAGCTCGAACTCAGCATCGTCTCGAAGTTCTAGATCACGCAGCCGTAGCTCTACGCGTCGAACCTCTCGGGGACGTGCAAGTCCGAGATCTCGAAGCAGTCCCCGACATCGCCACGATAGTAGCGTCTCTCGCTCTCCGGATCCCAGCGCTCGCAGAGCAACAGCCGATGATATTAACGAGACTGATCGCGAGAGCAGGAGAGGCCAAGGAGAGGGAGAGGGTGAGGCAAAAGGAAGCCGGGGACGCAACTCATAGCCTCGCTCATGGAGATCGGCTGATGACTCTAAGAGGTGACTTCCAAACTTTGCACAACTTTAAACAGGCCGATTCCTGCGTCACAAGACGATAGGTGGGTGGCGATTCTTGGAACGAGATCCGACAACTCAAACAGGTCTGGCTAATCTGATACTGGCACTATGCAGACACAACGTTGCCAGGTCTTCCAGCAGCGTTGGCGAAGGCAGAAGATCACGGGAGAATGATAAAAAAACAAGAGACGCTAAGCACGCATTTCGCCTCATTTACAAACGGCTAAGGCTAATCGTCTAAGAAGTTTTGCTGCATACCTTACACAAACATACGAGCTCGCTGGTCAAGGGGGTTGAGGGCCCAAGGCGAAGCCGTTCGCTCAATTTGGTACGTTGACTGTATCTTCTCGAGTCCCATAGACATAAGGCACCTGAGGGATTCTGCCTACCTCTTCCGTGATGGCTGTTTACACAGCTCGGTCTCTACTACCTTGCATTTCTTTTGTCCAACAAAGTACCAAGAATGGCACGACACAGTCATGATTATAATTAGCTATCCCGTTTTTTACCATCACCGTTGCTGTTTGATCCAAAGTCAAGTACGGCCTTGAAGAGGGGGAAAATTACCAGACTTAAGTCGGCGATGACCACACATTCGTAAGCTAGATAGCCATGATCTTCCCAATTAAACTAGTCCCCAATCTTAAAACAGATTTCCCTCCTACATTCCAGACGTAGGAATTGGATACGATGCATTGGCAACACTAGGTACTAAGTGCCTATGACATCAGCCTTTCGTTCGTGGTGAGGACGTTGATCTGTAGCCAAGCTAAACGCCAGGTTCACTTCCGATACTCAGTCGTTGACCGTATGCACCGTTTCCCGATGCGCAAGAGCGAATACAGCCGTCACGAACATCATCTACATTAGAAGGTGAAATCTTATGGAAAAACTGGAATTCCGCATCTTGGCAAACTCAACTACCTTCGCGGAGGTACCTACTCACGTCAAAATACGGTGGGAGAGCCAAGGTACCTTGAGGCTTGAGCATGATCCGACTGGGTACCTACCTAGGTAGGTAGGTCTCCACTCGTCCATGAACGGCGCCCTGTAGCTCCGTGGCTCCGAGCTAGCATTGGAAACTACCTTAATGCATGGAGGTACAACTCAACATTTAACCACCACTTCAATCCATTTCATCGGCCATTTCAACTTCCTTCCTCTGCGTCCCGTCACGTCGGTCAGCCGCCCATCGCTCTTTCCCAAAATCATGTTACGGGAACTGAACGAGTAGCGGTGGCATTGTTTCTTCTTACCCCCAAGCGTATGTGTCCGCTCACGCCTAACGTTCCTCGTTTGGAGTGATCTACAGGGAAAGAACTGTAGGTCTGGAGGCTCCTGTGTTCCCGACGTTCATTACTACTCTCAGACTGTATGAGGGCCATCTCAGTATCATATTTCTCTTAATCCCACGAAACCTTGGGTTCTCATAGGTGTGAGGGCCACATTTCCATCCGGCAGGCAGCTTTTGAGTCGGGTCCGAGACGCAACGAATTGACAGTAGATCATTCGTTGTGTGACCTTCAAGCTATCACGATTTTCAGATCTGACAAGTGTACAAGCTCTCCAATCGCTCCCAAGCTCTTTCTACTCTACCTTTCACAGTTGCTATTGGCAATCTAACCCATCACACCTTTCCTGTTCTATCTTGCGTTCTGGCCGAGGTATCTCATCCCCAAGAGAGGCTGCAATGGAGCTTTCCTCGTTGCCTCACAGTCCAACTGAAGACGATGGCAAAACTGCTTCATCTCAGGCTGGTGCACCTTCAGACGATGTGAAGTTCTTCACACCAAGGAACGATTGTCTCTCTAATGTCAATACGTTCGACCCAGCCGCCATGAGCTTGCAGGGTCAGTCGAGCAGGGACAACAAACGAAAGGCTGCTCAGAGCATTGTGGAAGTCAGTGATACTAGTCAAGACCTAGGCACATCCAAGAGGCTGAAGCTTGAGGCTATGAGGACCAAGTCGCCTCAGTTGCCTGGGGATAGATCACTTCTTCCCTCTGGAATATGGCATCGAGTTTTCGCATTTCTCCCCCCTAGGAGCTTGGGTACCTTGCTACGAGTTAACAAGCTTTTCAACGGGTATCTTGATTCTCACTCCGCTTTCGACAACACTGCTCTTTACCCGGAAAATGCGAGTCTCTTCAAGCCAATGAAACCAGATACAGTCTGGCAGCAGTCAAGGAGATTGCACCATCCCAGAATGCCCTCTCCGCTGGGGAATCGTACTGAACTCGATATGTGGCGGCTATGCTGCACCAAAATCTGTCAATATTGCGGTGTTACAAATTCGATTGATCAACAACAAGAGAATGCTGATCCCTGGCTTCCAGGGCCTGGAGTGTATGGTCTGGCAACTGTATTTGCATTTGGCGTCACCTGTTGCGGTCCCTGTCTTTTGAAACATTCTGTGAAGGTCTGTTTGCTGCTTGAATCTCGTCATCTTTCGTCTACAAACTAAACGTTCCATAGGAGATCGACCTGTTACTTTCTTCCACAACCCCATCATCCCTCATCCCAGCACTCGCCTCTGTTTTCGTCACACCCGAACTGCAGGCCATTCCATCGAGCACCTTGGAAACCAACGTGGGCGATAACAAGCTGGAGACTACAAAATTATACTCAACCTCCAGCATCACTGCCGCCAAGGAACAGCTAAACGTGGTTCAGAGCCTTGGGACAGCAGCCGTCGAAGAGTGGCTCAAGGGACTAGGCGCCCAGGGTAAAGAACACAGAATTGATGCATCACGATGGGAGAAGTGGGCAGCGGCTGGCGGTCTAGCGCAAATGTGCCGGAGCGTGCAAACTATGGGAAACGGGAGTATTGATGAACTGGCGCAAGACCAAGATCACGAACCACGAAAGTCCCCTCAAACTTCTTTAGAGGACCGAGATTCCGAAGGCCGCAGTAGGTCAGATAAGACCCACGAAGAGGCTGCCGCGCGGAAGGCATTACGGCGTGCTGAAATCGAGCGGCGCGCAATGTTACTCGACCCTCCTCTGCCACCCAACGTTGTTGTCCACATGCCTTCTTTTCAAGCAGCCATACAAATCACGGCCGCCTTGGACGAGAATGCGTGGAATACGCTGAAGCCCAAATTGCTGTCTCAACGAGCCGATGCCGAGAGGAATATCAACAGGGGTCTTATTGAATCTCGGAGCTCCAGCATTGAAACGAAGGTCGAGACAACAAGAGAAGTGACAGATCAAGACTGGGACGATATCCAAGGTCCGGTACGAGCGCGAATGTCAAAATATGCCGACGAGATCATCCGCGGTAGCTGGAATAAGGGTCGCAAAGTCAACAAGGAGAATAGCCCACGTTTTGCAGCGGGGGTCCTCCTATCCGTGCGGTCAAGATTCTACGCCGATGTTGCGAAAGACGCTGCGGATGCTATCGCAGCAGGGCGGCAGCCTGTTGTTGATCCCCAAGGTGGCCCCTTTACACAGAAGCTCACTCTGGAGAACATGAAGTGGGTGTTTGATATGAAGATCAAACAGCATACCGAGTCGTATAGGAAGGAGTTGTTTCTTTGCAATGGTTGCGAAAGTCATAGGCTCTACGGATTTGAGGGGGTCATACAACACTATGCCGCAAAGCATACCAAGGCCCTCAGTCTCGGCAACATTGTTGTTCACTGGAGAGCCGAATGGCCAGAGCAGCCCATCTTCAAACCCAACGGCCGATCGACCAAAGGTTCTCAGCAAGCCGCAGGAAAGGGAACCGCCCAAGGTCATGCGGCAACAGGACCCCGGCCACCTCAAGGTCATGATACTCTTAGTCGGAGTGGCAGTCTCCTACCTAGCCCTGTACACCGTTTTCCTTCTGACCAAGTTCCGCCCCTTTCCTATCACGCACCACAAGCTGCCCCGTACAATCCGTTACCAACATACAGTACGGATGCCAGCATACCGCGTGCGCCCTACCTACCGCCGGACTTTGGGCCGTCTGGAGCCCCCCAATTTTATCCTGTGGCATCTCCTAGCTTTGGACCCATACTCTCTGGCCCACAAGAGCAACCTCCGAACATGCTAGGAGCACCATATACTGGCCAACCGCATAGCACTCTTCCACATCAAGGCAATCCTCAGCCACCGTCTGCTACACCTCAAGGAATGCCCTTTGCGTCATCGTACACCACTCAGTTGGAAAACTTGGCTCGGATAGCGAGAGACATTTGGAACTCGCTTAGCACAACCAGGGATTTACCTGGGCCTTTGAGAGTATACATCACTATACACCATGTGGTCAAACGTTTCTGGCACAAATTTGGCGAGCCTCCCTTGTTGCGGATGTTTAACGATGGCTTATCAAACAACAAGGCTATGCGTCCAGTTCGCAATATCAACGGACTGAGGTGCAGATCCTGTACATTGGGTCTAGGGCCACCAGTCAATCCAGAACGCACCATGTTCTCGCTCCCGCAGCTCGTCAATCACTTCGAAAACCAGCATATCGGATTGCAGCAGGTCGGGCACAGGAGTGGGCCAGGCCTCGATTGGACACAAGATATGATCCTTATGCCGGATGTATCAGAAATTCCTGACTTGAAAGCTATTATTGGCGGCAAGGGACACAAGTTCAACATAGTCAATGAAGCAGTCCCCTGGGTCTTCAATAAGCCCAACGGACCCACACAACAATCTGGGGCCGCATGGCCTTTAGGTGGGATGGTACGGCCCAGCGATTCAGATCGAACCACGGATGATACTTGGCACACCTATGCCACGCATGCAGATGCTTCCAGTCATGAACGCAACCCCTGGCATGGTCCTGAAGCCATTCGAGAATCAGCGATCGTGGGTCAAGCGCAACAACGCCGAGACACGCAGCCGTCAACGGAAGATTATAATCGAAGATCCGCAGCGCCCCCGTATAAGCCACTGGTCACTCCTCATGAAGCACACGAACCAGGACGCATCCTTCGGGTCTCAAACATTGACCCTTGCCGACAAAGCTCTTGGGGCGCTTCTCCGACAGAATTTGATCGAGAGGGCCGCACCATTTACTTTGACAGTGGGCATTCTGCAGGTGGCTACAAAACGGATCATTACATGCCGTCAGGCTACTTCCCAAACCGTACTTCAGCATTGCCCGACGAAAATCGCCATGGGTACCGTGAGCAAAGTCGAGCCCCTGATCGAGTCCTGGTCGAACCTCGGTATGGGCATGGTAGTAGATACCCCGAAGGGGAGGAAGAGAGAGTCAATCGTACGTTGGATCAGTCGAGGTTGGTTCGGTCACGCCAATTACTCGACCGAGAGCAACTGTTACCGCAGGACACAAGGCCTGGCCCAGCAAGATATGCCCCGGTAATTCCTCATTCTTCAAGGGCTGCTGAGCTGGATTCTACACGTTCATCAGCGGGGGATCCCGATGACTTTAGCTTGACTGCTGCTCTCGAGTCGCATCTTGCTCAAGATCGCGACGCGCTGGCTCGGGTACCCAAGGCTGGGCTGCTGGAGCGCGAGGTAGTTCGTCAAGAGCGCCGATCCACAGCGCGCGACGGCCCCCCATCGGACTTTCCCAATTACCCTGAACAACGACACATGGAAGTAGAAGTTTTCGATGACGCTCGCCATGGACACTCCACGCAATACATGGCAGAATCGCATGGATCCCGTCACACCGGACATGCTTCTGAGGTGTCGACGTACTACCACAGCCCAGCGGTCCCTCAAAATTCAGGTCAGAGCAGCGACAATCGCAGCACAACGCGCTACGCGAGCGCGACTCGCCCTCAGTCTGCAGGTTACGAGGAGACTTATGAGATTGTGCACGTACGAGATGCAGAGGGAGAGTACATCGTTCGTCGGCCGATTCTACGAGAGCGAGAAACGCATCGGGTTTTGTACGAGGGTGACACTCATCACCATCAGAACAGAGGCTCATACTCACACCGTAGTCACGATGCTCTGTACGGCTCGATGGACCAGACTCCTATCCCTGGCGAGCGGCGAGATGCTTTCCAAATGCACGAAGCTTGCACTGCAAGAGCCCAATTCATGATTGCTCCATCATCGTTTGCAGAATATGACTCAAACAACCCAGCGTCCATGTCAGATCCCGGCGCTAAAAGACCATCAGAGTACTAGCCAGACAATGTACCTCTGTAATGGGATAGGAATAGCATAACACAGTAGTCAAATGCAGCCGAATAGCACCATGCTCTACTTATTTTCCTCGTACCCAAATCTGTTTTTGTTTCACGAAAACCGAGCATCAAGCCTGACTCCATGTGATTGCAACGGATAAATGGGCAAAGAATGCTTATACAGGAGGCGAATCTCTCAAGGTCAGCATTCACATTCTCTGGGTGCATTATAATATACCCATAGCTGAATATTAGTCTGACTTTATTGAAGTTGAGGATCTTCTATTACACACTTCTTCGACACAAAAAGGTACATGATAGGCACCCAGCAGACTGAGATGAGGTACAGCACAACGATCATGGCATCGTTTCTCAGACATCCATGAGCCTTTTCCATCGGAAACGCCCCCTAACGTAGACCTCGCCTTTTATCCGCCTGACAACCCCGAGAGTGTATATCCGTGTGCGCAACACACACTGAGGTAGGAAGTGGGGAAGAAAGAGAGAGAAAAGGAGGTAGGAAGAGGCAGAGAGATACAGAGAGATAGAGAGGGCGTTAATGCAAACATGTGGCGCCGGTTTCGCCATGTCTGTTTCTTCTTTTCCAACACGTATCTATAACACTTCACCAATGATCTTGGCCGCCTCCCTGTACGTCTGGAGCAGCTTCTCGCACTTCTCACGCTCCTTCTTGACACCGTCGTCTTCGTACAGAAGCTCCTCAAACAGCGCCTCCTTGTAAAGCTCGCTGACAAGTCGGTTCTGGACTACATCCTTGCAGTGGTTCACCAACAGGTGCATGACAGCCTTGGGAACTTGATCCGCAATCGACTCGCGCACGATGTTGAAGTAGGAAGAGATAAGTGCTCGGATAAGCTCTGTCTCCATGGCTTCTCGTTCTGTCATGGCTGGCTCGCCACTAGCCGTACCCTGGAGATTGTATTAATACTCATCAATGAGAGAAAAGGAAGAGAGAAACCTACGAAGAGGGAGCCGTAATCTATGGATTGCTGGGGCTTGCCAAATTCCAGCTCGTCCCGGGACGAAGCTTGTGCTGGGGCACGCAAAGCCACTTTGTCTTCAGCTCGCCGGATGCTCTGTGAAAATGTGGGCTCAGAGCTCTGGCTAACGTGCCGAGCGATGGAGGAGTTGGGCGATGATGCTGCTCCAATCGCCGAAGCACCATCCTTGCCGAAGAAGTAGGTCAAGAAAGAGTCGCGCGCGCCGCCCAGGCCCTTATCATTGAATCTTGACGGAGAAGCTGATCTTGCTCCGTTGAGCGCCGCATTCAGACCGGTAGTGCCGTTCTCCCGTACGCCGGGTGACAAGCTGCGCGCGCCCTTAGTTGCCTGCTTCCGAAGAGAATTCGATTCGGCCTTTTCGATGACAGCCGGCTCTTCCTCCTCGCCCTCCGGGCCTTCGGTGCCATTAGCGCCCAACTCCTTGAGACGCCTCTTCTCCCGTCTTTCTCGTTCTTCCTGAATCAAACGCTTTCGCTCCCTCTCCTGTTTATTGCTCACAACGTGACTCATGGCAGCGGCGGCACCCAGGAAGTTGGGATGGTTAGTGTTGATGTACGCTCTTTGGATCGAAATCAAAGACTCGACATAACCGGAGGTCGGCCCTAAGCGTTCTCGCAGCAAGTCTGACACGACCTCAATCAGCTTAGCTTGCAGTCTCGGGTATCGAGACAGTTCAGTTGAGCCGCAGGTGTGACAAATCTTGATGAGCTCCTCGTAAACAAGCTCTACACATCGCTGACTAGGAATTTCGAGAAGCTTGATCTGAGGCTTGACGAGAAGGTCAAAGGCCATTTCGGGTACGAATAGACTGGGACGGGGACCGGTGGAATTGCGAATGGCTGTTCTAATATCAAGGGCCGAAAGATTCGAAGTCGGGTCGATGGATTCTAGGGACATGCCAAAGACGGAGTTGAAGATGTAGTAGATACGAGCGCCGCCGCAAAGCTCCTTAGTCGATATTTCAGTCGACGTACCGTCAATGGATGAGATGAATGATGTGGCAAAGCGTGTCATTTGCTGCAAGATGAGGGATCCACGGTGCTCCTTGCCGCTAAAGTGCATATCGCCATAGCTTGCCAGTTCCTGTTGAGTCTGTCCCATGAGAGTGTTAAGGCGAGCTTTGATATCCGGCATGCGCTCGCGAATGTGAGCCATCAGAGTCGTATTCAGCGTCTTGGCCAGGTATTGAGTGCCGCATCGACTAGCAATGTTCCGGTAGGCGGGGTGGTGCCTGAAGAACTCAGATTCAGCCTTGAGAGCCTCCTCCATGGGCTTGGCGCCCTGAATGTCCTGCTGAGAGCGGTTGACAACACCGATGAACCCAAGTTTCAAAGGGTACACGCGGCCAGATAGGATATCCAATGCGTTCGTACCATGATCCATGAGGTCCACCTTGGTAAGCACGCCAATCGTCCTCCTACCAAGAGGGTCGACATGTCGTGCGAGTTTAAGAGCCTCCGAGTTCACAATATCAACATTGGCAGGAGATACGGCAAGGACGATACTGTTCGGCTTGGCGATGTACTCGGAGATCAGGTTCCGCGTCTGCTTTTCGATGTCTGTAGGTTGATCGCCAATAGGAACCTAAGAGCTTGTGTTAGAGTATGCCAGGCGTTTGACGCTGAGCACTGAGGAAGGCAAGCATGGTGGCATACCTTTGTGAGGCCGGGAAGATCAACAAGTGTCAGGTTGAGCACATGTGGCGAGTAGATCTTGAGGTTAATGGGCTGTCTGTTAATGCCCTTGTTGTTGCCCGCCACTCGTGCTGTTTCGTTCTCGATCTCGCGCTTTACATCCGAAAAGTCGTTGAAGCGGCGGTTTGGGATATGGTGGAACTCGGCCCATTCGGATCGTCTGGCAAGGTCGGGAGACCTGTAGGGGTCGGAGGAAGGGTCGAGGGCACTCTCGTCCTCAGATACGTTGATGAGTTGTAGGATCAGGGGTCGTCGAGTACAAATGCCACTGCCGCGGGGCAGGAAGTCACGACCGACAATGTTTTCGAGGACGGAGGATTTTCCGGCTGACTGCGAACCAACTACGACCTGCTCAAATGTTAGCGATTGGACGTCTAGACAGCTCATGCACCATGACTAGACGACGTACAATTTGGGGGAGATCGAGCGAGTCACTGCCAATAGTATTGAAGACCAGGTCTTGCAATTTGTTGACAGTGCCGAGAAGGTCGTCTCCGAGGGACGCCATGGTGATTGGGTGACGCTAGGAGGTAGAAACTCCCACAAAATCGGGTTGGGAGAGGTGGTGGTGGTGAGGAGTGAAGCACCCGTGGATGTCGAGGAGAGCTTCGAGAGGCGAAATAGTGGAAGCTCCTGCACACGGCGAAAGGCCAGGCCGAACGGGGAGTCTGCAGCGCAGGGCGACGCAAAACAAGGCAGGGCACCTAGTGCAGGTGAAGGGAGCAAGCGCAGGCTCGTCGGGAGTGATCGGCTGCCTCTAGAGGTTGAGGGCGAGGCAGAAGATGAAGAAACTACAAAATTAAGAACGAAGCCCCTTCAGGCGAGATGGAATTTTTGGGCGAAGGGGGGCTTTGCTTGAGCCGATGCGCGTAGATGCTCTCCGGCGTGTCGTTCAATTTCGAGAATTCATGCGCGATCCACCATGTCGCCTACGCAGAAGGCTCCAACAAACGACAAGGCACGTAATGCTTAGCTTGGTACAGTGGAGGAGATGGTTCCTAGTATTAGCTAATACACATCCATGGATCCGCTAGTCCCTGACACCTCAGGCTCGGTTACATCACTATCAGTACCTACCTTACTCTGTATGAGCCAGCATATTCCAAAATAAGCTAATTCAGAGGGTGAGGAAAACAATTATTGCGGTGAGGCTTTTCCCAAGAAGATGAAGAGAAAGATATCTTCCATAGCCTTTCCCCCCCCTTCTATCGCGAAGAGGCTTTGGGTTTTTTTTGGTCTTTTCTTCCTCCCTGAATTTGTATGCAGGTAGCCGGCGGTTCCATCGGTGCGCGCACTGGCGAGTGTTCAAAAGTAAGAACGGATGCATCAACGAAAGTTTCCTCTCTGCCGGAATCTTCCAGTAGCAACACCAGATGTAAGAGAAGACCTACCTATTGGATTTTGATTCTGTGGTTTGTACCTATTCGTACGCCTTCGCCCCTCAGCTACCTACCGTAGATTGCGTAGCTAGTTAGTTACCTTGGGCGAGGGTTTTTCTTGAGGTACTTAGTGACAGGTGCTCTGGAAAAAGCCATAGCGTCCCGTCGTAGACTCTTGGGTGTCACTGGGTGCCAAGGAGGCTTTAAGTTGCTGTTGGTACCTCAGGAACCTCACAGAATCGACCAGTATCATTCCACCCGCCTTTGTCGGACCTCCTTCTACGTAGCTATTGATTCCACTACAGAGCCAGCGCATGTGAGCCTTTCCGCAACTTGAGCAAAAGAGGCAATCGAGAACCGCATACGTGAGGTAGGCGATACAAGCATTCAATACCTGCACAGGTAAGTCAAGCTGCGGCGCCGTTCTGCCCGAGCCCCGGACACTCAGATTTCTCACCCTCAATGCTCAGGCTCAGATAAAGATATCCAGGCACAGCAACTTCTTCACATCAACACAGCAGCAACTTCTCAAGACAACCTATCAGCTAGAACTGTGTGGAATCATTTGTCGTTATCGAATCTCACCCGCGTCATCTTTACCATGAGTCAACTTGGTGGTCCAGGTTCTCGACAAGCCAATGCCAAGCCTATTCCGTTCGTACCTGACCCGGCCCTTCTTCACAACAGCCAATGTGATATGTAAGGTGGTGCAGTGCAGGCTAACGTGTGACAACCATTTGTTTTGTTACCCAGTCCTCAACGTGGCAGTTTCCCACTTGATCATGATGGTGAGTTGCGAAATGTGTGCCCCAATCGATTGCGTCTTTGAGGTCCTTGGCCTGCTAATGCGCACCCAATCAGGCGAATGCAAGCATGTTATAGCTACTTATCTCGAGTGCATCAAGAAAGTACGAGGGGTGAACGACGCTGAATGCCGCGACCTTGCTAAATCCTACCTTGCATGTCGGATGGATCGGTAAGTCTGCTTTTCACTATGCGACTGTGGACGAAACGACGGACGACATTCTGACTACTGTTGACTTTGGCCTCAGAAACCTCATGGCCAAGGACGAGTTCAGAAATCTGGGTTTCGACAATGGACCGAAACCAGCAAACGACCCAAACGGTCTGGCTTTAAGCCAAGCTCAAGCCCAGGGAAGTACTGGCAAGGACAAGGACGCAAAGCCCGGCGAATTGCGATGGTAATATCACGGGTCCTTGGAGGCTCTTCAGTCGATTGCTCCTCTACATGTACATTATTCACGGAATTCATACCAAGAGGGCATTTGTTTGCATTGCAACGAATTTGTGGGGGTCGTCAACGACGTGGTTGCTTGACAACGCAGAAGTGTGAGAAATTGTCAATATTTGAGCCATTATGCGCGGCAAAGGAAGTCATGCACTCTAACAACGGACCCAGTAGCACTACGCTGGGGGGCGTCGCCCTGTGCATGGTAAAGCCCCAGGCAAGGGACGGCATGTTTGTTTACGCAGAGGCTGCACTTGGTCTAAGGCACTACTTACTTTTGTTACTTTTGACCTAGACCGACGCGCTTGCTTTCGGGACAAACTGGTTAAGACATGCTGAATTGCCCAAGATCTCAATTCTCAGATATTTAAGGTAGGTATGCAGCTATCTGATGGGCCACAATGGCGTATACAACTGCTCCTGAGGGCTGTGTGGAATACAAAACATGAGACGTAAGGTACATTCAGCATGGAAAAGATGTTCACATAGTGGGGCTTAAAAGAGGGAATGTGGTTTCTTTCAAAGAAGTCGACACAGGATCACGGGCATAAGCCATCATCTGTAGGCGTCTGCCACTGTGGAGCTGTCATTGTGGTTGTTTCCCTGAGAAGTGCTGGGAACATGCACGTCGCGAGGGGCTAACCTGGAAGGGCATCAGGTCACACTGCACTGAGGTGACTCCCTCAAGTACCGGGTGTGTTCCCGACGACGGCACAGAGCCCCCTGCGTACCTAGGTAGTGTAGCCGGGCAGGTCAACTTAAGCTCACCCAACCCCGTCGCCCTCGATGTTTCGTTGTCGCAGTAGAGAGAGTCATCGTTGCCCCGACAACATCCCACGCCAAATACCTCCCCTTACCTTAGCTACGGCTGGATGGCTCAAGTATAACTTCATCGCCGTCAATCGGAAAACCCCTCTCTCAGAGTGTCACTAAAAGACTAAGTCTTGCCCTTTCGTTCATAAGTAGACGCATCATCGTCATCTATTCATCTATTCGTACATCCATAGCCAAGCGAATCCACTAAACCTTCACCGCATGTTCCCCAGGCACCGCATCAATCTTCACCCTGTTCCCACTGCCTACTGCCTACCGCCACCACCATTTCCTGTCTCCACTGCTTGATCGACGACGTGCTCGCCGCACGCCAGCTCTCCAGCATGCATCGCAGAAAGAGCACTGAGAAGACGAGAAAGGTGACTCCTCCATCGCCAAGCTACATGAATAACGAACAATTCGGTGAGAAATGCTTCTGAGTGCTTCTCTTTTTCTGCCTGTCGTGAATGCTAATCCCAACTTCTTAGCTGCCTACTTGGCAAACCTCCGATCCAACAGAGTCGCCCGCCCCGGCGGAGCAAGGCCACTGCCGCCTTCCTCTTCAAGCATAAGATCAAAACGCCCTTCAATCGAACATAGCGTTTCCGAACCCCTTCCACGAAGCGAAAGTCCTGCACTCTCCACTCCAAGTTCTATCAATGTACCATCGCAACCGCATCCCCCTTCTGTCAACGCCAGTGTATCATCCCGTCATTCCATTCCGAGCATCCAAGGACGGGAGTATCAACCTTACCGCCCAACATCACCTCTGAAGCCTTCTCAGGTGGTGCCGACTGCCACCTACATGGAAAGAGGACAGCGATGGATGGAAAAGGAAGAGGCCGTGTCACTTCGACATGCCATGGAAGACATGTCTATTAAGAACGGCGAACAACCCGTCGAGGATGAAACCGTGGAGACGCCAGACGACGAAACACGTATCTATAATGCTGCACTCGACGAGGCCTCAGAACTGGTCTGGCGGCATCAGAATGGAGTCCGCCCTCCTGACAAGGACGCACCGTATCGGTACAAGCCTCACCTCAGAAAGAACAGTTATGCTCATGCTCGCACCGCAAGCGTGGGCAAACATGCCGACGGCACCCATCCATCCGGCCTCGCTAGGGACAAGTCCAGGTCAGTTTCTGGCAGCTCTACCGACAGCGATGGTCACTCTCGGCGAAGTCGACCTTCCTTGGCTTTGTCACGGAATAGCGTTGGGGGGGAGAGTCAGAGTCCCGACCGGCCTTCGATGGACTTGGGAACTTCAGGGCCAGCCGGTGCCAGACCCCTTCCGAAACCCAGGAGCTCAGGGCAGCGTCGCAGCAGTATGAAGCGGAACATCAGCGGCGAAGTTCAAAGGCCATTTTCCGGTGATCAGATTTGGGAAGAGCCAGAAACCAATGCCCGGGAAGACAAGGCCAGGACGAAGCCAGCGTCGGCAGCAGACTTACCTCTGGTTGACAAACCAGAGAACCCCCAGAATCAAGTCCGATTTGCTACAAACTCACAGGCGGACCGCGTTGGACCCTGGAAACCCAGGTGCAATGTCGAGATTCAACGGAACCCACCGTCTCAGTCACGCAACCCACAGTACACCATCAACACTTCGGTTCCGAAGCCTGTGGTGGACGACCATATCCCCAAGAAGAACGGCATGGAGATACGCAGTGAAGATATCCGAGGGGCCACAAGTATGAAGCTGAAGGACCGCAGCGCGAAGTTGCCTACACCCACGGCTGTCAGTGATCGCCCTGGTCGGCCGATTGTAAGCTTCGACTCGAAGTGGAAGGCTCCAGACGAGAGAACTGATGCTAGGCCAGGAGCCGCGAGCCAAAACAACCAGCCGATGGAAATTCCTTCTATCGTGGTGGCGTCGGAGGAGCCTCCGTCGGACAGAACACGCAGCAACCCGATCGTTCCGGTCATAAATATTGACGGGACAGATGAGCCACCTGCTTCTAATCCTGGTATTCCTTTCATAGTCACTCCCGACGACGATGAATCTTCGAATCCGAAGCCGCGGCCCTTGCCTGACCCCAAGACAGCATCCAGAGGGCACCCTTTCCGGCGCCCGCAACGTCACTGGTCACCAGCCCCTGCCACTAGCAAACACTCAACCGCTTTGTGTCACGAATGCGCATTCCCCATTGAAGGTAGATTCGTCGCTCTGGGCGGATCCTCAGAGCGCTTCCACCCCCAGTGCTTCAGCTGCTTTGCTTGTGGTACTGGTCTAGAAGCCTTGGAGATTAGCCCAGAGCCAGAAGCTCATCGCCAAGAGCGCCTCGACAGAATTCAACGTCGCGCCCATGGCGAGGTGTTGGAAGAAACGCCAGGCAAGACCATGGCCGAAGACGGTGACGAGCGCCTACGTTTCTTCTGTCATCTTGATTGGCACGAACTTTACGCACCGAGATGCAAACACTGCAAGACACCCATTCTCGGGGAGCACGTTGTCGCTCTGGGAGAGCATTGGCACTACGGACACTTCTTTTGCGCGGAATGCGGCGATCCATTCGAGAAAGGCATGACTCATATCGAAAAGGACGGGTATGCGTGGTGTGTCAACTGTCAGACAAAGAGGACGGAGAGAAGGGCGCCCAAGTGCAAGAAGTGCAAGACTGCTGTCATCGGACAATACATTCGGGCGCTGGGCGGTGAGTGGCATGATGAGTGTTTCCGCTGCGCTTCTTGCCAGGGCGGTTTCGACGACGGCCAAATTTTTCCTAAAGAGGTTGGTGACAGGGTCATGGTACTATGCACAGGATGCCGCATGATAGAACTCAAGGCATAACGATGTAGACGAGCAGACTGCAGAATTGGGCGTTGTTTTGAGTTGTCTAGGATAGGAGTTAGGATCAAGGAATAGGGGAAGCGTTTGCGCTTTTGTTGTCGATTAACATTCTGTATTGTTTTCAGCTTGAGTAATGGCATAGCGTTTGGCTGGATAAGGTACTTTAGGGGGAAAGGTGAAGAACAAAATAAAGTGGTAAAAGTCATAATCGTCATTGACTGTCTTCATATGGCCCTATTAGGAGAATCCGTTGCATCCATGTACGCCATTTGCGACAGCCGAGGCCTTCTCAAGAAGCAAGAAATCCATCGCTCCTTCGACTACTCCCACCATGTATTTTCCCGTTATTCTTGCCTCCATTTGACTACAGGGAACCGCCGACCTGCTCCTGGTGCACCTCGAGAGTGTCTCCATCCGCCATCTCGAGCTGATAGTGCCACTCGCGTTAGTATCGCATACAATGTCGGAGGCAGCCGCGTCGCCAACGCTTACCGTGTCTGGGGTATCCGTGGGTTGGACACGCTGGCCCTCGAAGAGGAACCGAACAGAGTTCATAGCCTTGCCTTGTCTCTCGCAGAAGGCCGTCATAAGCTTGTCCAGCTTGGTCGAGCGCTTGATCTTGAAGAAGACTTCATTGTTGTTGTCGGTAACCTTGATGTTCAGGTGCTCGACGGCGGGCGGAGCATCTTGACCGCCAGCAGACGGGCTTCCGTTCTCGTGTTCGCCAGACATTTCGTGATTATCGCTGACAGGGTAAAAGTCAGCAACGGCACAAGATTGTCGTGGGTCGTTTGAACTTTGGAGGGGTCGACGGGAGTGGGTTGATAGAGGTCGAAGCAGGGATATATTGCTGATGGATTGGTGTCCACCTACTTTGCGCTGCAGGGCGTATTCGCGATAGTGTGAGAGATCGCACGTGTGTGGCTGTGAAAGCTCGAGAGTTGGGCTTGTGAAGAGCGCGGGAAAACAAACACGCGATATTGTGCAGAAGGTGACTTGTAGAGTTGACGAAAGGCGGAAGGTGGGGAGCGGTAGTAGGAGGCGCAACTGAGTCCGAAAGACAGGCGCTCTAGGTACCTACAGAGGTGGGCAGAGACACTGGGCGGAAGTGGGATGGGAGGCGATTGATTGGACAAAGTGGAGCCAGGATTTTCTAAGGCTTACCTTAGGTACCTTAGGTATTACACCTTCTCACCCCAGATGTCGCCTGCCTAAGCCTCAAGGTGATAGTGAAACTTAAGTCAGATACCTTCTTTCCTACCTACACCAACACCTCAATTTAGGTACCTTACCTTACCTTAGTTTTCATCTGAATATTTGCCCCTTCCCAGAGTTTCGTGGAACTCATAC